ATTATTACTCCCATTTTGCAGATGGGAACACTTCAGCTCAGAGAAGTCATTTCCGTAAGGTCACACAGCTAGTTAAGGGCAGAGTCAGGAGTCAAATACAGATTGGATTCCCAAGCCTATGTTCTTTCTCCTTTGTCTACAAGTCTCTCAATCTTTTATTTAAGACAAAGTTTAAATGGAACTTACATGCATAATGCACCTATGAAAGAACACTAAAATGGCTGGTGTTATACAGTTGTAGAGACAGCACATTATTTTACCCTACTTTTCCACTGAATAACCAACTCTGCTAATACGCTTTCCCAGAAATATTATGGAAGAAACTGAGCTGTTCATGATTAAACATGACCCTATAATCAAACAGGCCTGATCATTAAACGTTTGAACTAAATTAGCAATGAGACTAATGGCATTCTAACATGAAAGATTCAGAGGTGTTTGAGAATTTGTAGAACTGCCCCAATTCTGTGAGCATTAATCCACTCAACGTATTTGTTCATTGAGCATCTACTATATAGAACAGCCGTCATTGTTCTAGGGACTGGGGAACACAGTGACGAACAAGATAGTAACCTCAATGAACTTAATTCAAAGGAGAAGCACAGAAACTACACAAGAGAACAGGCAGCCAGCTCTAAGATGTGGACATTTTTATCAGAGATCTAAATGAAGGAGAAAGAGCCTTGCAAATATGGGGGGGGGGGGATGGCCTGACCAAGAAAAAGAACATCAGGAAAAGAGTGAAGAAATAGCGAAGGCCTTGAAGCGGAAAAGGTGTTGATATGTCTGAGGAAGAGCAAGAAAGCGAATACTGCTGGAGGGGAAAAGTAGTAAGAGATGAGGACAAAGAGACAGACACACCATGTGTACACTTGAAGGTTCAGATAAGGACTTTGCACTTTATTCTGAATGCAAGGAAAAAACACTGAGCTTTAAAAAGACTGCTCTGGAAGTAAGAGAAATAACAGTAGGGGCGCTGGAGTGGAAGCAGACGGGCCAGTTAAGGGGAGGCTCCTGCAGAAGTCCCCGTGGTTAGTGGTGGTGCAGTCTGGTACTTGGGAGTCATCAACATGTAGATGGTGTTTGAAGCCGTAGGACTGATGAAATCACTGAGGGACTGAGTGAACGAACACACAGGTACAAATAGGGTCAGGCTAAGCCCTGGAGCACTCCAAGGTTCAGCAGCTTAGCTAGTGGATAAGCTAGCAAAGGGAAAGCACCTTCATTTCCCAGAGCACATGAAATATATTTTGTATTCAGGGTTACCTAATTTCTTTTTCTAAGCAACAGAGGTAACCAAGTAGTTTAGTTTGTTTCCATCCAGTCATATTTTTGATCACACAGAAAATAAAAATGAGAAATGATAGAAATAAAAGATTTCTATTTCAACGAGGCAGAAGCTCTCAATAAATATGCAATCAAACCTTGCTACATTCAAGTTAAACCTAATAATTTCTAAAAAATAAATTATTTCACCAAACTTGAGTCGTCAGCAAATAAAAGGCCTATAAGCCTAGAACCTAAAAATGCACATAAATTGTACAAGTTTTTCTGTAACATGATCTGACCTGCATTTGTTTTATTACCTAATACTGTCTGTATGTTAGAAACCCACAATTAGGAAGCATAAAAAAACCAGAAAGTCAAACTATGTGTAAGAACTGAGAAAACAATGAAATACCTATGATGAGAAAAGGGAAATGTTGATTCATTGTTTTAACATCTAAAGCAGGACAAGTAATTAACGTAGTCAAAATTAAAGAAATAGGGGTTTTATGTTTTAAAAGAAAAACAGTAATGTTTAGTATTTCTTTTCATATACTTTTAAAATGGTGTCTCTTCAAATGCTGTCAATTTCAATCTTTTTAGCTTTTTGCCTATTTTCTCCATTTTAGGCTCTCAAAGCCAAAGGACAGGGACACTGAAGCAGGCGGGCCTGAGTTGAAAGTCACATTCTGGCACTCACAATTACTGCTTGTACCTTTGAGCAACCTACTGTACATCAGAGCCTTAACATATCTTCATTGGAACGATAGAAATAATGCCTGCTCCACAGCATTTGGAGAACTAAAGGAGAATAAATTATGCAGAACACCTGGCATATATTTACAGCTTTATAAATTAATTTCCCCCCTATTCTATGTCCCTTCTCTTCCCTGTTTCAACATTTATTGCATTAACTGTTTATTAAAGTTACCTTTTGGGTGCTTTTCAAAGAAAATGGGAGACTTTTATCTTGGTTAAAATGGTAATGATACCATAATCCTACCAGTTTTGATTACGGCCTTTGGAAATACTATAATATTCACAGCAGCCCAGCTCCAGGTTGAGCTGTTGTTCAGCATCTTAGCTGTGGAGGGCAGTGTCACTGGCCCTCATATGTGGGATCCGAACCAGGGCCCTTTGGTGTCCCAAGCCAGTTCTTAACCAACGCGCCACTCAGCCAGCCCAAATACTATAATATTTTATTTTACTGGACTGTAAGGTTCTTCTGGGGAAGAATTACAATTCTTTGAAAACCTACTGCCTAATGGACCAATAATATTTAAAATATGGAAAACATATTATACAACAATATTAAAAAGTACTAAGAACACCTTGTATAAAAAATATCACAAGGAGCTATTTACATTGTTGGCTTTGAAATCAAGAATTGAATCATGATCTTATAGGTTAATTAAGGCTTATATCTTTCTATTATCTTTTATTAACTTCTATTTGTGTGTGTTGATTAATACAAGGAACTATCACCATGACTTGCACAAGTAACAAAATCAAAGTTTCAAATAAATTTGTATTAGAGTAAGTGACTCTTTATTATTTCAAGTCTATGTGTATTTTCTTTTTTCCATAATGGCAGCTTTACAGATACATCAATGTTTAGTGGGTTCTGTTGGAACCCACTAAGCTCTCAGTGTCTGTGGCATATCTTAATAAATAACATCAGCAGTTCTACCATATTAAACCCTCAGCATCTCACATATAGACACTACTGGAGGGACATGAGTAGCCTCATAGGTCCTACAGTAGTAAAGTGTCTTGGCCAGAAAAAACCTGATTGGACTTTCCTCTGCAATGTTGCAGGTCACTTGGTCATTTACAACTTCTATAGACTTTCTGACACTGTAAAGCTTGAGTAAACTGAGAAAATCCTCTCACAGTTAAGGAAATAGCTTACCTAAAGCTATAGAAAGGAACTTTTTTCCTTCAAACAAGTAATTATAGCTCAATTATTTTGCCTCCTCCCTCCATGCAATCAATTTAGAATAAAGAACATATTATTACTTCATGATATTATGTACTTTTACAAGTTCCTTACATATTAATATATTCCATCCTGAAATAGAATATATAAAAAAGATTTTACATAATGTATATGGCTTTCTGAATATTTTAGAGGAAGGTGCTAAAAGTGTAAGTATTTTTATGAAATATCTCCTGTTTAAATTTCCAAAATTAGGTGCAGACTTTTAATCAGAAGCTTTTAGTTGTACTTGAGAGCTTTCTAATATCCATTTTGCTCCTTCATTTTTGTCATTCTAACATTTATTACAATCTTCATCAAAAGATAATAAAAGATGAGGGAAAGAATAAATTTGTTCACTTCAATGCTTACCAATCAGCTAAGTTAGAAATTTATTTGTGGGACTTAAGAAAAAAAGTAAGGTGATAGCAAAAGGTTATAATGATACAAGGATCCTGGGAACTCGCTTTTTACTTCATTCATCCACATGATCAGTCTTCTCCAGGCCTGGTTGCAATACTGTTACATGGACACAAATCCTCTACAGCCCACCCTTTCTTCTATCAAAATTCTTTCATTCATCCTACACATGTGCATGGAGGGCAGACCGGTGGGGAGAAGGGGAAGAAGTACTGTTCTAGGTGCTGATACACAGTAACAAACAAAACAGGTCCCTGCCAGGGACTGAGAGGCTTAGTTGGTTAAGAGCTCGAGTGTGAGCTCTGAGCAACAGGGTTGCTGGTTCGATTCCCGACCCACGCTGGCAGGACGGCTCAGCTAAAAAAAAAAACTAAAAAAACCCCAGGTCCCTGCCCTATGGACTCTCACTTTCCAGTAGGAGGAAACAGCTAATTTTAAGAAGTACAAATATGTAGCATATTAGATAATGCTAAACACTGATGAAAAATCAAACAGGGAAAGAGGGATACGGAGAATCCAGGGCAGGGGTACAAACTGAACTTTTTAATTCAGTGGTCATTTATCCTCATGCTCCTCCCGAAAAAATGTGTTTGTTTGTTTTTTAATTTAAAAATCCACATATATCTATTTTTCTAAGCACCAAATTATATTGAGGGATATGTTCAGAACATATTTTTATTAAGGGAACAGGTGGATAATCTCAAAAATTACTATTTTAATAAGACAATAGCCATTGTTTCACTTTTTAAAAACTGCCTTTCATAAGACTGCTAGTAACATAGGTAGATATATCCTAATTTTTATTGGTGATGGGATCAATTCTCTGATAAAAATTAAAACTTACCACAATGATCACAAAGTAATAACAAAACAGCATTAAAATCTTGAAAAAAGATTATTTTCATATTGTGTCTTGATTCATTTGCTAAATTTTGGGTGGGCAAAACAAACAGCTCTTCAATATATGGTACAACTGATATCCAGCTACATTCTAATAGTGGCTGAGAAACATTTATGTTGTTTTTCTTTTTTCCCTTTAAAAACTTTCGTGGTGATGGTCAAATAGTTCCCAGGCAAGCTGGGCTCTTCCTGGATAACAGGCAGTTCCCTGAGAACTCAGAATGTTGTCTAGGTTCATACCCTGGGGCAGGCTTGTCTAGTCCACCGTCTGTTGGTTACTGCCATAGCCTAGACTACTTCAGAGACAGACATAAAAACATCCAAGAAATCTCACGTGCTCTCACATTATTCGTATTATGACTCTCCCCAGCATTTTACCAAACCAAGTATTTTTCACATTAGGAACACTGTAAATTCTACCCCCAAACAAGAATACCTCCGTGGTGATGTGACAGACTCCCTCCATTAGCCAGGATTTCTTCTCTAGCAGCTGCCTGTATTTGGAAACAACACAACAAATAGTTGCTACTTAGATTTCACTTTGAAGTAAGAGTGAGAGACCCAACTCCCAAAGGAGGCACATACTTCCTGGGTTAAATAATCAACTAGAGCCTAATTTTCCTTGCTCGTAGGTTTACTGCATTTAAAAAGCAATTAAAATATACAGCCTCGCTCTATAGCTTTTCCAGTGAATAGTCACAATATCTACCATAGTCACATCAAGATTCCAGAAAAGTAAAAGGCAAAATAATCCATTCAGCAGCATTAAATCGTTAATAATAATGAAAAAAAAATTTTGTAAAGACAGAGCAAGGTCCTACTCTGAAGTAAACATCTCAGTATATACCAAAAAACATTAGTAACTAACATTTATTGACTGCTTATTGTATGCCCAGAAAAACACTAAGCAATTTACCTACAGTAATGCGTTTGTTTTTACTATATAGCCTTATGGAATAATTACGATTACTCCTATTTCATGGGTAAAGAAAATTAGGCTTAGGTGGTTAAATTACCCACCTAATATCATACAGTGGGCATCAGACTCAAGATTACTTACAAAGCTATCTGGGGTCAACTATAAAAGCCCTTATGGAGAACATTTCTTAGGTCAATATCTTGGGACAAATTACCTGTCAGGCCTATGGATATATAAGTATGAAAAAAAAACCAAAAACAACTCTTGTTTTATCCTAACATGCTACACCCTGACTACTCCTTATAGAGCACTAAGGTTAGAAAGATTAAACACGCACACCAAAATAAAGAATCAATGGAGTGCAAGGTGAAAAAGGGTAACAGAAACTGGAATTACATTTAATTCCTGAGTGTGTAATAGCCATGAGTTAAAATATCTGGAGTGCCTGAACCTCTGGGAATTACACAGGTGTGTACAAACCATGGGCAGTTAGGCCAGGGTAGAAAAGGGTCCGGCTGCGACAGATGGACCACATCTCACTGCAAAGTAATTTATTAGAACCATCATCACTTAGGATTTAGGGTTTTTGAAATGAATCATAAATATGCTAGCCCTGCTGTAAGACAGTATATCGTCTAACAAATTATTTCAAATAAAGCAATAACTACTTGAAATCAGTAGCACATACAGGATGGCAGATTGGAGTGGTAAAGAAGGCAGAATTTCATTCTTGTAGTACTACAGGGAAGGGGCAGTGGGGAGCCAAAGGGCAGCACAAAAACACTAAAGGACTACGGTGATGGGAAAGGACTTGAACTTTTGAGGATGATGGATATGGTCATTATTTTGATTTGGGGTGATGGTTTCACTGGTGTATATTGACTTCTATTTCATGAAATTGTATACTTTAAATATGTACACTTCACTGTATTTCAATTTTACTGCAAAAAAGCTATTAATGGGGGTATACCACTGGAAATTATCTTGTAGCTCTACTATTTTTGGCGGGCACACAATACATTTAACACTAGGACACCTGAGGTTTTAACAAATCTCAGTCTCTTCTTGGTTCCTCCAATCTAGTCTGTTTCTTCAACTGTAGGCATGAGAAATAGTGACCTTCAAACAGAAGGCTTTATAAAAATTAGAAGCAACTACTAGCAAATGAACCTCAATGGTTTACATATAGCTTTAGCAAACAAAAATGTGATAAACCCAGATTAAGGGTATCACAGCACAGACCAAGAACATCAGGGCTGCCGACCTCAGCGGCAGCCACCGTCTGGAGATGCGCGGGCTGCCAAAGTGGTCAAGGATTCCTGTAGTCCTTTGTTATTTAACTTCATCAGGTACTATGTACTATAAGTAACAACCAAAAAAAATCACAAGCTATAGAACATTAATTCTTATATACATAGAGGATATTAATTCTAGACTCACAATTCAGTATACAGCCCAGTGCAACAAATATGCTTCTCATTTCTATGGGCTATCACCTAGGTGGGCCACACGTGATTAGAGAGTGAAACTAAAATCATAATTGATAGTAAAGTTTACTTAAATTAATGAACAAATTTAAGAGCTATAGTCATGTATGCAAAATTACCTCGGTTTGTTCAAACACAGTCAGTGGGTCACTTATTCCCCTGTAGTTAAAGGCAAAGTAGAAATAGATACATGCACCTGCATCGTAAGTCTGCGTCACCCTAAAAAGCAAACAGACAAATCCCCATGAGGCTTTAAGTTAAGTGAAATCAGATTCAACATCTAGAAACTTAAAGGCAAGATCATCTGAATGATGTGCTTGAGCCATAATATCATTCTCTACCCAGCCTTCCACTTCATGGAAGGAACAGAGATGGGCTGGATGAAGGAGACACACACACACACACACACACACACGAACTATCTGTACTATTTTTACAATTTATTGGGGTAAGTCTGAATTATTACCCCCCCAAAATTTAAAAACAATGTAAATGTTTCCCCAACTGGCCTGAAACAAACAAAAACCTCACCTTCTCAGAAGAGTTTCGGGTTTTTTTGTTTTTGTTTTTTTTTACGAAGTATATTGTATTTACATTTACGAAGTATACTGTAGTTAAAGACAGTATAGACTAGACTAGAAGGAACTTGAGGATCCACTCTAAGTCTTCTGAACTTCCTCAAAGTTAACAGGAATAAGTATCAGAACTTAAAACTAGGAAATGAGAGATGTTCAAATACCAAAAGTGATCAGAATAGCATATTCACCAGGTTCACATTAATAATTAGTACGGACTTTGAAAAAAATTGAATGATCATATCAAATGCACTGACATGACCTTAAAATAGTGTCTCCGAAGGCTACACTCTAAGCCCCATATATGCGCATGTTGTATGTGTGTTTGCAAAAAAGGTAAAAAACATTAATCAAATCATATATACAGAGAGTGCCCAAAAAAGTATACACATTTTAAGAAAGGAAAAAACTGTATTAAAATTGTAATACTCAATATATACCGATAACAAAAGATGAATACAAGTCATGTGCATATATTTTTTTGGCACCTTGGTGTGTGTGTGTGTGTGTGTGTGTGTGTGTGTGTGTGTGTGTGTGTGTACATACATATATCTGGGTTTTCAAAATGCAATTAGGTGAAGCATTTAAAAGGAAAGTAAGGTAATCATAGTCAAATCTCTGAATGCAATTTACGGAGGTTCCCACAAAGAATTTAATTTAACAGAAGGAGCAAATACAGAGAAAACACTTTTTTTACTACACAGTACCAATAGAATCTAATCTAAAATTTTAATGGCCTCTTAGGCCAAATGTTAGGTGCCTCAGAACAAGAGAAATGAACTGTTTAACAATGCTACTGTCAATTTGCCAGCTGTGTTTTTCTTCTAGTGTTAATTCACACTCATAAAAAAGATCTCTTGAATGTTTACATTTGAAGTACCCGATTTACAAAGTTTAAGAAAAACTGGAGAACCATTTTAACTATCACTAGGAATCATCAAATTTAAAAACAGTTAAAGAATATAGGAATGAAATGAGTTTATAGCAATTAGTAAAATATACTCATACATCACTCATATAAGAATTATTAATATCAATAAATAGAAAATGTAAATAAATATTAACAGAGTATTGCCACCTTCAACAAATCCTGGATCGATATTACACAGTTTAGTTTTGGGTAGATAAATAGGCTTCTAAAGTCACTACAAAGCTTGATTGATCAGTATCTCAAAGAAAAACAAAGTAGAAATAATAAAAATATCTTTTGGAAAACCTCGATTTGGGTCCATTTCAGAAAGTGGCTCAGATCTAACACTGTAATAGGTTAATTTTATCATTTAAAACAGTTAAACACTAACCTCTTCCAAAATCATCTTGACAGTGATAGTGTGGCTGCTAAAGTCATTCTACTACTATTCTTTAATTTCTAAAAAGTGTTTGTGCTCTATGGTTTTTGGAGTACTTTACTTATGTAAGACTCACTGGCTAGGAATTCCTTCCCATAAAACTTCTTGAGAAAATTTAGGGTTGGAATATTTATTCCAACATACAAAGTAACTTTTAATAGACAGAAACAAAATAAAATCAATAAATGCACCCTACAACTAAATTATTTGGGGGGGAGGATCTTTGATGTCAATGAGATCTATAACTATTTTAAATTAATTTTTAAATAACTTTTTAAAAAACTAGTTTAAAAAATACATCTCACACATTCAACATTTACATTCAACACAAAATAATCTCCTTAGCCACTATTAAGCAGCTCATATCAAACTAAATTAAAATCAAACTCCAGTTAAATCTTAGTTTAATCAAGTATAAGCTATAAGAACTATATTTAAAACTCCTATTTATCAAAGCCATTCAAATAACTAGACTTTGCCCATTTTAAACTTTAGTTTTATAAGATCATCAGAGAAGCTGAGCATTTAAACTTTTGTCAGAAAATCATTCCTAAAAAATAGCTACTTAATTAATGACATATGACAAATTCGGTCTAAGTATACCAATTTTATCTACCTATAATACATAATGATGACCCACAATACCTCCTGAAGAGAATAGACTTAAGTGTCATTACAGAAGGTGTCCGATGACAGAGTATTTTACTTCCCAATCACTTTCAATAAGCAGTGGTTTATCACAATGATATTTTCATAATGGAAGGGGAGAAGTCTCGAGAGACACTGAAGAGTGAGATGAGACAGGAGGAGGAAGGGGGCATAAATTTTGTTAGGTTGCCACTTGACAAAATAAAAGAATAAGAACTTCTCAACTACACAAGAATAGATTCTATTATTTAAAATGATTCAGGGTGGCCGGGTGGCTCACTTGGTTTGAGTGTGAGCTCTGAGCAACAGGGTTGTCGGTTCGATTCCCACATGGGCCAGTGAGCTGCACCCAAGCTGAGCTGCCGACGAGTGGCCAGATGGCTCAGTTGGTGAGACCACGTGCTCCTGACAAGGTTGCCAGTTTGACTCCCGCATGGGATGGTGGGCAGTGCTCCCCCCAACTAGATTGAAAACAGTGACTGGACTTGGAGCTGATGGGTCCTGGAACAACACAATGTTGCCCTTCCCCAATTCCCCAACACTGTTCCCTACCCCAATTCCTCAATAAAATCTTAAAAAAATAAAGTTTCAAATTTCACTGGTAACAAATGACTTCTGGATTATTAGGCCTAATTTGTTTTCAGTATTACAATAAGAGGTTTGACAGGCTAGACTGTCAAGAGAAGTAAACATAGCAGGTCCTTGAATAACACTGTTTCATTCAATGTTGTTTCATTACAACATCGATGAGAGCCCTAGGAACCTAACTCTTGTTTATATCAATTAGCCTATGGTAAAAATTGGTTTCATTATATCTCATTTCGCTTAAAGTTCAGAGCCTACCCATCATGTTAAGTCTGGACTTCCTGTATCAATCTTGGTTGAGAATGACAAAAGTTTCATTTTTAAAGATGGCTCCAAATTAAAACAAGTAAAAATAACACACACACACACACACACACACACACACACACACATTCTTACATCTTCATTTGGAAAGGTTCTCTCCAAGATCAGTCACTAAGCCACCAGTAGCTTTAACAAATTATATGCTTTTTATTGTAAATAACAAGGCCCAAATTTCCGCCTCTTTCAGATATATCAAATGCCCAGCCAATAATCTCTAAATCCACATTTTTAGTTTTTATACTCTTTGATTCTACCCCAAATATACTTGTTCTAAAACATGTTAATACACAGGCTTGACTTGGTACTTCCGGAAATGCTCTTCAAAGCCTCCCTCTCCCATATATAGAAAGACAATTTCAAGGAGATCCCGATGGACATGAACAGTTAATGAGAGAAAGATGCTTTTCTCATACTTCATGTTAGAATTTCACTTTCTTCCTCAGCAGGAGCACAATTCATCAAATTCTAAAAGATATCCATTTCAATGGGATCAATAAGGAGGACTAAGAAACACAACATGGTAGTAAGAAAATACAAGATAAGAGGATGTAAAAGAGAAAAGGAAAAAAATTCACAGAAGAGATAGCAGTTTAAAGAGTACAGAAGTATTTACAGTCTTGCAAAGCAAATATATGCAAATTACCATGCTATGTCAAAATATCAAGAGGGTTTAACAACTGGATGCCTTCATGAAGATCTGTCTTTAGGATAAAAAAACAAATATCCAATTCTTACTAATGCTGGTATGAATTGTCTATCTCAACTTTGATGTAATTACATCATGACAACACAACGGCATTTATATAGCTTTTCATATGCATTCTCATTTCATTCTTATAAAAGTCCCATCAAGTAGATGGTATTACCACTACTTTACAAATGATAAACTTAGAGCTCAAAGACATTAAATTACCAATAAACAGCAGAAAAGTGACTTCACTGTTCAGACACACATAGTGTTACAAAACAAAGAAATTAAAAAACTAAGCAGGAAGTTGTCAGTGATTGATGCAGTTGGTAGATAGGGCCTAGCTCTTGGGCTGGAATAGACCTAGGCCTGCCTTCCCAGGCTGAGGTTAAGTGATTCCAGGCTAATCAGAACAAGCATCATGAACAGAAATATATAGAAATGCTATTTTGCTGAAGCGTAACTGTTGTTTCAGAATCCTGCATCTGGTGCGTTGAACAAAAAAGCTATTACATTACTTCCAAAATTACTTACATTCATGCTTATATTGTTTTTTTATTTGTTTCTATAATAAATATTGGAATTAGGGCTAGCCGAGTGGCATGTTGGTTAAGAGCTGTCTTGGGATGCCAGAGGGCCCCGGTTCGGATCCCACATATGAGGGCCAGTGACACCTCTACAGCTAACATGCTGAACAACAGCTCAACCTGGAGCTGGGCTGCCATGGGTCGCCGGTGATGGCATAGGCTATAGCCCCTGCTGCAGTGGGTTGCCATGGGCTATCATGTATAGCCAGCAGCCACCGTGAGCTGCTGTCCAGAAGCCGGCGACTGATCTGCCTCGCCCGGGAAGAGCGCAATGATGGTGCCAACTTGGGCCAGTGAAGCAACGTCCTGCACAAGTAGACTGAAGAACAAAAGGACAGCAACTTGTCTATTCCCCTTCCCCCAATTCCCCAGCGCTGTTCCTAGCCCCCAATTCCCCAATAAAAATCTTTAAATAAATAAATAAATATTGGAATTATATTCTTGAGAACCACATACACACACATAGAAAAAAAGAGGTAGTTAGTTACATAATACAGATTGCTCAATAAATTTTAAAGTGCTAAATTACTACTGTATCATTTATTTTAAGGTTCCCCTGCTCATGATCTGTCTGAATTTCCCTTTATTCTCCTTTCCAGTTAATTCTATAACTTTTTAGAGAAGTCAAATGCTCAATTCAATCTTAAATACTTAATCTTCTGGTGTTTACACAGAAAATATCGGAACACTGAATACACAGTGCCCCTTCTCAACAAAACCTCCATTGGGGTTGCTGCTACTTAACAGAGGACAAGCTCATCCGTTAACCATGACCCAATGTGGATCGTAACTGTCCAATATGAAAGATACTAGCCTCGGGCAGTGTCCTAAATTTAAATTATTTGAAATTAAATAAAATCGAAAATTCAGTTCCACAGTCACACCAACCACATTTCCACAGCTCAACAGCCACACACACCCTGTGGCAGCCACACGGGGCAGGCAGATACCCATTCCCATCATCGCAGAAAGATCTATTGGAAAGCAATGAGTTAATCTTCATTCGGATCTTTTGCTCCACTCATTCCTTTATTCCACACCCATTCATTTAATCAACCCCTGATAAAATGGTTCAACCACTGATAAAAAGTGCTTTTTCTCTGTTGAAGAAAGAGCTATGTTGACTGATAGGCAACTTAGAGTTCCTCGCAGATATTTATAGTTTCAGTGAATGAAGAAGGAGGTCTCCCCCCTCTTAGTCCAGGAGCTCAGACTCGGGGGGTCGTCACTGGCCTGCTGCCCGCGTAGTGCAGAGGGCTCACGCACCAAAGGCTGGTCCACTCCTAAAGGGCTCAGGGCTGCTGTGACATGCTGGTGGCACAATCCTAACAGCTTGTCAGGTGAAACAGACTGAAACTTTGCCTCAACTGGCCAATTACACTTCTCCATTAATTAAAAAAGTGTTTTGTTTTTTTAGAATAAGTATAAGAATAATAAAAAACTCACCTGCATGTAGAAAGAGGAGCAAACTGAACACCCTTCTCTTTGCATTCCCTTGTTATTCTTTCTTTTACATTTCTACAGAGATCTACAACCCTAGAAAACATAATTAAATGCAATATTAAGTTTTCAAATAAATTACAAAAATTCTAATAAATACTCATTTATCTGGCATCCTTCAAGTTAGAAATTCTCTTAACTAAAACTTTCATACTTATTCCTTCAAAAATGAACAAGAGCTTTTATCATTCAAATTGAGCTTTCCATTCATTACTTCAAGGAAGCAAAGTCCTTTTGTTTGTTTTTTTGCCATAGGAAAGATAGAAGAAGTCAGAACAGCACACTCAAGTCTCCTGAAGGCAGTTTCCTGCATTTAGGAAAACCCAATTTCAAAATAAATGTAATTACAAGATTTTAAAAGCTTTAAAGCTATAAAGAACATGTTAATGAAAATTTAATTCTCGTTTATAGAAATATAAAAATAATTTAATTAATAATCATGATGTTATAACAAATATTCTATTTTTATAGCCTACTCTCAAGCACTGAGCTAAAATCCAGTTCAACAAAGACTTACTGGACATGTAACCTTGTGTAAAGCTATGCAAAGCTGTTTGATATTACAAGTCAATGAAAACAGTAGGGAGGATTTATAATATTTAACAATGATAATCTATTTTTTAATGGGAGCTGTAACATATTGTTATAATTACTTAGTTTCATCTGGAAAATACAACTCTTAACCCTAGTTTCATCTGGAAAATAAAACTCTTAAGGTATGTAGAAGCCATTTTATTCTCCGATAAATATCCTGGCTACGTACTGACACTGATTCTGTGTTTTAAACCTTGGTCTGTTTAGAATCATGAGACCAGAAAAAATACTAAAGAAACTCAAAAGGCTGGCCTATCTCTAGTCTCAAGACTGATTTGACTGTGTGAGAAACAATTTGATATAAATAACATTAAATGTAGATGCTTTATAACACACATTAAAGTTATCTATATTTCCAATAAGAACAAAGAACATAATTAAAATATAAATGAAAATGATTTTAGTATTTTATTAACATGTCAAATTTTATTTTTATAAATACAGTATCTGAAAGTGTTATAAATTCTCATTTTGCAAAACAGTGCTCTTAAGTTAAATTTTGTTTTATTCTATGAGAGCTGCACACAAATAGGATTTATCAGTGTTATCTATATCTCATTTATGGAATAGTAAGAATACATGTTTTTTAAAAATCTCTTGGAAAACATTTATTGAAATTCAATGTGTTTTTATTTTGAAAATCCAAGTTATAGAACAAATTCTTTAAATATAAGTAAAACCTACTAAGCTTTAATATCTACAGGGGTTAATGAATATTACAGATATATAAAAGTAACAAGCTCTTTATCATGATTCTATAAAATGGAATTTAAGTACTATATCATAATACATACTACTAATAAAGAGGAGATGGGACAAAGAACAAAACTGAATGGTTATAACCCTTAATGGGATACTTTCTAGAAATGATATATAGAAAGGGAGGTCTGAAAGCATTCTCTCACAGAACTTGTGCAAGGTCGATACAATCCATCTGGATCAATCACATAGGAAATAAACTTAACCGTGGACACTTCTAAATTCTTATCTGACCTATTAGCAAATTTAGCACTGTTGACCATTTCCCCTTTGAAAAAAATTTCCCTGGGCTTCTTTCACACTACTGGTTTTCCTCTAACTCCCCCAGATATTATTCTTCAGTCTTTGCTCTTATTTGTATGACTATCCCTTAAATATTGGAGCTGCTGGACTTCTTTCTTAGGCCCTCTTTTTTTTTCTTAATCCATACTATCTATAAGTGTTTGTATCTGCTCCCTTGGTTTTAATCACAGTCTAAGGTTAGTGTATCCAAAATAGTTCAATCTCCTACCTGGACCTCTTAGATACCTATTTTAATAGGCTGCATTCTTACACTATTCCACAGTTCCTCCATAAGACTCTACGGAGCATATTCACTGAGCACCTAACAGGTACAGCTCTTGTGCTAGGGCCACTGAGGAATACACGAAAACTAGTAATCAGTTGGTTAAGAGCTCGCTCAAGAGTTCGAGCTCTGAGCAATAGCGGTTCGATGCCCAGCCCGAGCTGAGGTGCCGCTGAGCTGCCAACAGGTAGCAGGATGGCTCAGCTTAAGGAAAAAAAAAAAAAGTGAGAGGAATGTAGCTGCTTTCCCTTCATTTTATTTATTAAAACTTCACCTGAAGTTGTTTTAAATGAAAACAAACCAAATATGTAGCCATGTATAAGAAAGATACTGCCACTGAGTCAATTAAATGAATATGTAAGTATATACAAGGAAAGGATAAAGAAAAATAAAAAAATATAGAGCACGCTTAGCTTCCCCAGTTGAAAGAATAAAAAGACAAAGACATCAGTTAGCAGTAACTGATGACAAAGAAATACATAATACTGAAGAAGTAACACTACACTAAGCTACGTTTCCCAGCAAGGAAAGGTATTAATAAAGACTAAAATGGTCTTTGAGACAACTATGAACAGCTGCCAAACTATATCTGTGCTCAAAAGTGTCAGGTTTTGATGAGCTAATAATTCTTTTTACTTAGAAGATTTATTCTCCTTAGAATTAAATTTAGCATCAAAATCTGTGAATAATAGATTGATACTATAAATTTGGTTATTATTTTACAATGCATGGAATATGAGCATCAATGCACCAAAAGCCCACAGTAGATGAAGACTGAATGTAGAAAAGTGGAAAGATTTCTGGGGGAGAAAAAAAAGAAGTTAGGGTAAAACAAAAATGTTAAGACATGTAATATCAAAGAGGTGGATTCATGGGGATTTGCTATATCCTATATACTTTATTGTGGATTAAAATAATTTGTTAACTTTATAAAGAAGAACTAAAATGTAAGGCATACTAGAATAAAATGTACGAACAATTTCCTTAAGAATTTTTTACTACTGAATGAACTCACGAGTCTGTGTTTAATAAAACCACTTCACATTTCCTAATCAGTTGTTACTATTAATTCCCTACCAATATCTGTACAATGTACGTGTATGTAATTTAAAAATAAAAATTGTACATAATTTTTTAAATTGAATATCTTTCAGAAATTGCTTAAATTTAAAATCTAGCTTAATAGGATGCACACAAATATCAAAAGCTAACTGATATATTACAAAAGACGGCTAACTGGTTTTATAATTTTGGGGGCCTTTTTAGAGAATATTTAAGCATATTAGTCATTTAATAATTTAAATCAAATCCAAATAAAAACCACATAGTGACATTTAATGTTCAATAAGACTTTTTAAAACACAAACTTCAATAATATCTTCCTTCTATGGGACACGAACAAATTTGCTTCAAATAAAAAAAAAACAGCTTATAAATACGACATTCTGATGGAAATATTAAATAAGAGTGATTACCTTGTTTATGAAATTTTAAAAGTTTATATATCCACACACAAAGATACATGAGCATATTTTAGTATCAAGCATTTTATTTCATTTTACCTGTCCCAAGGAGCAGAAGTCTCAAAAGATTCTCCTAATATATAGTATTCCAAACCCAAGTCCTGTGAAGACACATACAGAAAAACCAAGAAATTATAACAGATGTAGAAGCATCAATAATATTGTGAGTGTTTCATGTTCATTGTTAGTATTTCATGTGATTGTTAGTAGCACATGTTCCTACTTCAGTCTCTATGACTCTTTGCTATCCATCTCATAAGAGCACTGGGAAGTGGCCCTGAGAGATAGATCGTCCAGGAGAGTAGGAACTTTGTCTGTCTTGTTCTCCTCTGCACCCTTGGCACTGGGCAGAGTGCCTGACACATGGTAGGAACACAACCGTTTATCCAATGAACAGAGTCTCTATTAGGAACGTTCACGTACAAGTAGAGAATACTACCCGAGCAGATTTTTAATGGCCTAAACATCAAATTAACCAATACCAAAAAGTGACCATCAGAATTGAAGGAACAGAGAAGTAGGAAAGTATGTGTGTGGGGGGGGGGAGGGGGGGGTGCGGGAGGAAGCTATCTCTTTCTTCAAAGCAACTTTTCTTTAAAAAACAAATTAGAAAATATAGTGCCTTTCTTTGTAGTGACTAAATAGACAGAACATTTGAAAGCAACTCTGCTAGGAAAATATATTTTAGAGCATATAAGATATAATGCTTATATGATAACTAACTTATAACACTAACTTCTTTACCCAAAGTATAATTCTGTTGTTTTAAAATTGAAAAGAGCAACACACAAGCCACCACAGACATATAAATATATGAAAGAAAATTTTATAAGGTAGAAAAGTCAATACATCTTAAGTTTTCACTTCTAATAAAATGAATCACTTCAACTCTACCACTTGTGGCAGGGAAAATTCTGAAATTATTCATCTAAAATGTATCTTTTTCCCTTATGCATTCATTTATTCAGTAAACATTATATTTGGTGAAAATAGTATTAAGCATAGGGAAAACATAAAATAAGATAAAATTAATAATCTCCCCCTCCCCCAAAAAATCTCTAACTTGCTTTTGATTGTTTTAACATTAAATGGAGTTTTAATAATTAAGAAACTTAGAACTGTGTCTATGCTATATTTCTTACAGTTACATTCCATTTTCTAGAATTCTGAATTTAGTATTATGGGAAAATGGTCAATATCCTCAGAGAAAATGCCTAACAAAATTTTACATATACCCAAATGCTTACTATGGGAGACATTGGGGTAGTGACAGTCTGTGGAGGTAAAAATTATAAGACCTAAAATCATCTATTACCTTTCAGAATCTGTAAATCTGTTAAACACAACTTCTAACACAGCACACAGGCAATAAATATACTTCTTGTTATCAGCATGGGGGGAGGGGATGGCAGGAAGTCCTATATTCTTCACTGCAATCTAAAATTTAGATCTTACCTAGGATTACATTAAAATGCTTACTATGAGGGAACTTGGGGTAGATTTGTAGCTAATCTTGGATTTCTGTAAAATGATGTGCTAAATTACAATAAATTTAAGAAAATTTAAATAAATTTGGGAAAATAAAGAAAATAATTGTATTCGCTCAAAGAAAAAGTATTGTTTGCAACATAAATTGACAAGGGAAATATGAGACAACTTACTCGAATGTATGCAATGACATAGGTCAGCAAATAACCTCTCTGTCCATTATCTTCTCCAGCTGCCAGTCCACTGTAATGAAATAAATATCAAATGAACTATTAAAAATATATATAACTAACCAAACTGATATGATACCTCAAGATAACAGCTTAACATATATTACAATTCATCCCATTTTTATTTTACTCTCATTTATCATAAATATATCAAAGAGCTGTCAAGAGAATAAGCTTGGATAACAAAAATCTAAAAGCACTTTTAATATTTCAGTTTGGTTATTAATTTCAAACTTTTATCCACCAAACTAATAAAACTGACTCATGAACTCAACTACTGTTACACATAATGTCAAAAGGATAGAAAATTAGACATGAGAAGCAAACAAATAACCTTCACAAGCATAATAAGATACTTAAAATACTATTATATTAATATATTTTTATTCATATATTATTATAATCTTATTCATATATAAAGATGTGCAATTATTGACTAGGATTTTCCAAATACCAAGACGTTGCTTCAATACGTAAGCACATAGTATTTGGAGTATAAGACATGGTGTTTATTTTATGAAATTTAAGACATACATGAGAGACAAAACATAGTTATATGGAAATACTAAAGTTTACGAAGCAACATATAGACAAGTATAAGACCAATAGGTAAGGTCTTATTACTACGAACACATGAACCATTCATTTCAATTTGAAAGTAGTTTTATCTGTAGAAACTGTATTTGGTGATCCAGTTAGAATCAATCTCTTGTTCCATATAATTCAGTACAAGTCCTCTGCTTTGTGAAAGTCATTCTTCTTTTAAAAGACTGAATCATTATTGATTTTCACTACCTTCAGTATAGAGTTTTTAATTTTGTTTCTTTCCACCATCAGGAAGAATTAAATTTTAACTATTCTTCGTTAACTACATTAAACTTACCCCAAATTCTCAAAATACTCACCTAAAGATTCCTCCATAAAAGCAGATAAAAAGAAAAGTATCTTTTTTTGTGACTTGCTTAGGTCATGATTGTTGATTACCTGTTATGTCTCTCTTCTCAATACCCTAACTGTGCTTCCTTATCTCAGGATGCTGAGCCCTTAACCATGGTGTCATCCAAGACTCAGGTCTAGAGCCTCTGTGATTTGAGCCTCTTCTAGAAGAATCATTTCTCTTATGATTTCAATTAATACTTTATAGTGAAGTCCTGCACCCCCCCTCCTCTGAAGTTCTGCTTCTTTTTGGAGGTAAGTAAATAATACAATGTAGATGTACCCTTGTTCTATACAAATACTGTAAAGTAATTTTCGGCTAAGAAATATGGGCTAAATCAGATTTTCTGACTTAGTATTATAGCTAGGTATACACGAATTAGTGTTATCCACAAGGGGTGACAAACACGTGCTAGGAGCAGCTGTAGTCTAAAATGACTTGGGGACGGAGTATAACGAAATGGAGATTTGTATTGCTAGAATGTTAATGAGCGAGGAAGACAGAATGCAGGTAAAACAGCTAACAATGAAAAGCAAGCAACAGACAACTCTGGGTTCAGCGTGTATGGGTGAGGGTGGGTGGGGTAGGGAGTCAAATGAAGTTCCAAAACAAAAAGAAAACGAGTCAGAACATTGCTGTGGAAGTGCCTGGAGGAAAACAGCTGCACCCATACTTCAGGTAGGTGTGACAGTCAGACACTGAGTCTGAGAGAGAAAAAACACGACTAATCTGGGCAACAGAAAACAGTTCATCCTGAAAATAGGGGCAGAAGGGAAGGAGAGTGAAGACTAGAAAATGGTTGAAAAGACCTGCACTGGCAATCTTTGAGAAGGCGCATTCTAAGCGTGTTTTTGGTGAGAAGTGACAGATATCAACACTTAGTAGGCCTGTCTCTTGTACAACAGGATGAGAAAAAGTCCTACTTTGCAGTTCCACGTCAAGCCAGTTTTCTTTAGACCCTCTTCTAATATCTGGTGTGTGTGGGGGTTCTGTTCCACTTTGGAATCCAGTGTGACAAACCACACAGAAACACACATTTTCTTATCTAAAGCAAGAAGAAATCGATGTCCATTCTAAATGCATAAACCCCAATCCAAAGGAGAAGAGAAGTCATTCTGGGTTTGCTTTTCTGAATCACAGAATATACATATATCCTGCAAATACCGTAGAGCCTTTTCGAGCTTCTCTTTTTTTTAGCTTTCAAAACTATGAATCTTCTAGCCAGAGTTACCTTAAGATACAATATGTAAAAAGTAGTAGGGCTTAGAAATTCAACGCTTCTAACTTGCCACTTTTGCAGCCACTCCAAAAAGCTACCCTTAGATTTAAGCAGCTTTATGTTAAAAGGGCAACATCTATCCCCTACTTCCTACTCCCCATCACAAATTTCAAACACCAATTAACAAGGTTCTTAAACCAATTTAAACCTGTTTCACAAGGACAGGCTGGGAAGACTAATGAAAGGGGAAAGAGAGACCATCTTTTCACATAAAAGAGCCATCTGGTGAACCTAATCACTCTCATGTTGAATTACATTAAACAACTTAAGCACACACTTTAAAAATAATGATAACATATTACCTCAAGTTCTATGGTAAATGTCAATACATTTGTTATGATTGCTGACAGGTAATGTTTATTCTGCTTAGCGATGTTTATTCTGCTTAGTGTATCAGCAAACATAGGAAAACAACCAAAGTATGATTATTCAACATTTGGCTATTATGTTCTGTTGGATTATACGTGTGCAAGGGTATGTAAGTTAGGGTAGGAGTGGCAGGCAAGGAGGAGAAATGGCTAAGATAACAAAAATGCTCTAAACTGTTGGGAACACTGCATTAAAAGCAGTCGATTTAAAGCCAATGAGGTGGTGGGGAACAGAGGCTAAAACAAAAGAACGGAAAATGAAGGAGATTAATAACACCCTAACTCAAAATAAAATACATGAGCTAAACTAACTTAATGAAAACTTGAGCAGAAAATTTAGTGGTGCTTTCTTCCATGTAGTCATGCAGAAGGAGAAATGATTGAGGAACAAGGGTTGGGAGAGTGGAATCTTAAATAAGAAAACTATCCGTGACACTTTCAGTGATTAAAACAAAGAATTAGTGCCTAGAGAGACTGGGATGAGGGTGGGAAACAGGACTTCTGCTAGAAAAACACACAAAGACATTTCCAAACATCAAAAAATCAAAATAGCTCTAAGTCATCGGCCTAATGACAGCCTGTATTGTTGAACACAGAAGATTTCTGCATCTAAATGAAGGGAGCCAGGATGAAAGTACACTAAGAAACTAATTGTAACTAAGATGTGAAAAATAGTAATGGCAAAAAACGAGACTTCAATCAGCGTCCATGTTTTTAATGCTCTATCCTTGCTTTAAACAGATACCTCATCTACCATAACTTATTTTTAATGGATGAATCTAATACAGGCTTTGTTTAGTATAAGCAAACTGCTGGAATTAAATCAATAATAGCTCTGGGCCTCAGTATTAGTATCTAAAAAGACCTGGATTCATTTTAAGGATGATTCAGCCTTACTTTTAAGTTGTAAATGGCTGGTGTTACAAGAGAAAAACAAAATCGGTCTTACATGAAAAAGCAATTCATGACAGTTGGTTGCTCAAATGAAATAAAACAGACAAAACGGTTCTGATAAATACCCGAAGATTAAAATACACCAGGAATAAAATATTCACAAAGAACTCAGATTAAGAATAATGTGTATGGTACATTTCAAGTTCTGAAATAAAAAAAGAAGACGAGTATCCAGAAAACTGTTAGTTTATGTACTTAAGAAAGAAAGGAAATAATGTAGTCCTGATAAATAGCATTTGCACTAGAATTTCCATTGATCAATCTTATAATCCATCAAGCAGACAGACAGAAACCACCCAATCATTATTCAGTTGGTTATAAATGTGAAATGTTTTCTGTTTCTTTATACTGGCACAAAACAGTAAGTGACAGGGGGTAGAGTACAGGTAATTTATCAAACATTTTGATTAAACACAATTTCCTTTTAAAAACATACAAATAGTATGTTTTATACATATACTATTACCGCTAAATATTAACGATTATGAATCTTTTTCCTATTTCACTCTAGCACAATAGCAAATATTATTCAATTAGCATTAATGAAAAAATACAAAATATTTAATATATCACATATATGATTAGATAAGAGCAACATACCAATCTAACTTCCTACAAATTCTGAGAGTAAACCAACACAACATTTTAAGCTATCATATATTACCATAAATTTAACAGTAGAAATGGTACATTAACAACTATTTGGAGATATCAGAATTTTGGCTGAACTTTCTCTTGGCATTATGAAATTATGAACATGAAGCCATACCCAAATTTTGCAGCAATGTCATACACTTGTTTTTCATGCTGAAGAACCTTCTCACGGTCTCCCTCAAACAATAATGTAGCAACACTTAGCTGATTTGGATCAAATCCTTTAAACTAAAAAAAAAAAAAAAAGTTATTACAGATAAGTCTTATCCTATAAAATAGTATATCGAAATACGTTTTGCTCTTTTTTCCTTCTGATCTGGGCTCAAACACACCAACTCTTTAAAAATTGACCTTTGGAACTTTAGCTGCCAATCAAAAAGAATGCTTAATGCACCTATTTAGGTCATTAAAATATAATAAAACTATGAAAAAACACTTCATTTTGAAGTATGCCACAGTGTCAATTGTAATGACATACTGATATGTAAACACAACTTATAAAAATTATAACTGTAATAAAGAATCAAAACTACCAAAATGATAGAATATAATAAAATAGCAGGATGTAGGGGGAAAAAAAGTAGAAGCCAACAGCATCCTTACATACTACAATAACTTTTCATTAAATAATATATTCAAAGGCGATCTTATGCATAAAGCTAAAATACAAAATATCTAAGAACAGGACCGGCCGAGTGGCTCAGTTGGTTAAGAGCTCGCTCAAGAGTTTGAGCTCTGAGCAACAGCAGTTCGATTGCCGGCCCGAGCTGAGCAGTCGCTGAGCTGCCAACAGGTGGCAGGATGGCTCAGCTTAAAAAAAAAAAAAAAATCTAAGAAAAATCTTAAAAGGAAATATATAACTTCATTATGAAAACATGCCTAAAAAAAGTTGAGAAAGACTTATCTTCCTGAATGCATAAACTAGGTATTATAAACCTGTCAATTCTTGCCCAAATTAATAAACTAGTTTTTCCTATTCTAATAAAAACCTTGATAGACTTCCTAAAATGGTGAAGAGTTTCTAAAATTTTTCTAAGATAATAATAAATAGGTGATGGTGACAAGGAAAATTCCAAAAAAACAAGAGGGAGAACTAGACCTACAATAATTAATTCCATTTACTTTTTTAAGAACAAAAGCTCATTAAAAAAATATGATACATTAAAATGGAGTCTACTACTTGGATAGGTATATAAGATGTCTTAGAACATGGCAAATCAATGTAAGAGAAGCAAGGATTAGTTAATTAATAGCGCTGTGCCAAACGGTTACCAACTGGGGGTGGGGGAGATAAAGATATAGATCTTTATCTCACATCATCAAATTGAAAAATTCAAATAGTAATAAAGATTGAAAAATCTTTTAAATTCCCATTTAAGGAAAAAGTGAGAGAGAAGAAAATGGTTCTAATTATAGTTCTGAGGGAAGGAAGGCTTTCTAAGCTTAGAATAATTAAATCACAGGAAAGATAAAAATTTGAAACTTGCACCAAAAAGAATAACTCTTATTTTAAAGGGAGTTACCTGACTGGAAAAGTTATTTACAACATTTACGACAAAGGCATCTAATAATTCCATTACTCAAAGGGCACACACTAAAGCTCCAAGTAAAAAAAACCATGAAGCTGCCACCCCTGAATAACCATATTCCATTAATTCACACAAAAATTATATCTAGGAAATACAGGAAAATGGTCTGTCTTTTTGGAGTTTCAAGAAACATCAACTAAAATAAAGTACTATTTCCCCCCAGGATTCAGTATATTTAAAACATAACAAAACAAAAATCACACAAGCAACAGGAAGGATGCAACAAAAAAACGGCATGCGTGTATTGCAAGCAGTAGTGTAAGCTGGTATAAACCTTTAGGAAAGGAATTCAGCAATCAGTAGTTTAAAAAAATTCATACTCTTATTTCACTTCCAGGTATCTACTATAGAGCAAAAAATGCAAACTATAAAAAATGTTATATGCATGAAACTGTTTAATGCAGTGTTATTTTTAGGAACTTCAAATATAAAAAAAATTTAAATTTCTGAAATTGAATGCATCATTGATTTACTTAAATATTTATTCCACCATGAAAAATAATAACTGAAATGTACACCATAGCATGAAAAAACCCATAATAGGTTCATGTGAGGGGGAGAAGGCAAGAAACAAAAAGGATTAATCCTAAGCATTTAAAATTTTAGCATTTTATAAAAATTCTTACCTTTGTAATATAAAACTTTTTTAATCCATCCAAAAAAGATGTAAAAATAGAGGAAACCTGAGGTTTAAGAGCATGACCTAAGAAGAAAAAAAGTTAATATTTTAAATTAACAAAGTCTATGTTTTTCAGAAGATGAAGAGGCTACTGCAACTTAGTATCCTAAAAGAAAGTGAACATTTTCATGACTTTAAGTTTTTAAATCTCCCTGTTTTATATATTGATACTTAGATCTACCTACATCTTTTATCTTTATCAATCCTTTTAAAAGTCACAACTTTTTGTTTACAAAACTCCTTCTTGGTTTTCTTCTTTTTAACTCAAATTACTATATGTAATTAATACTACACAGAGTTTAGATTATCTTTCAATGGTATAGTTTATACATAGTAAAATCACTTCATTAATTTTTATTTCATTAAGACCACCCAATGGTGACTGGTTTTATTTTTATTTTTTTTTAATTATGCAGAAACCATTCAGAATTATAACCAAATATTGAGTCAATACCATGTTTAAGGTTGTTTCTTAATTAACTCTTAATTCATCCAGAATTCTTGGTGTAAAACTAGTAATTGCTTCCTTAATCACACCCAGAGTTAAAATTGCCAAAATAACATAAATGGTGTCTCAGAGTCTTTTAAATTAACATCTTTGCCTGCGGATTGAGTTTAATTGAATGAAAGTCTTTTACTGTTTTCTCACTGTTTTCAGAGTTAGCAACTTCTTAACTCCCGTGACTGTTACATTTAAGAGTCATGCATCTGGCCTTAGTGCTATGAGACCAATTCAGAAAAATGTGGCACACCACTTGTATAGAATTTTTATAAAGAATTTTAAAGCCTCTAGTAAATCTAAAATTATCTCCAAATAAAAAGTTTATTATTAAAAAAGACTTTAAGGTTTTGGGATTCTGTTTGTTTTATTTCAAGGAGTGGTCTCGTCTTTAAAATAGGAATAAACAGCAAACTAGTTTTTTGAAAGAAAAACTTTTGAAAGATTTCTGGGGTAAAAAAACTATATTGCAGTCTTTTTTTTTTCCACATTCATCTTTCTTTTAGGTGAGTCTGGATTTGTGATATTTATTACATTTTTATTGCTTATAATTAAGTCTTCACTGGAAGCTAAAAGTTAGATATCCATGTTATAACTGAACGAAGCAAAAAACAAATAAAAAACGAAGGGCAGATTAGATAGAGATCAATTTAGTAATTCTGTGAATTCCTGAATCACCAGTAAGAGGTTTGTTTGGTGATTTTTTTGTCTTTTACTGTAAATTGTCAGAGACGCTTCTCTAGCATAACCAGTGCTATAAAAGATACCATTTCTAGCTTGTACAAAGTTAGAAATAGCCTCAAAATATTCACTTCCTGTCACAAATGGGATTCGTCTTACTTTAATTGGAAATAAATATGCAAACATAAATGACTGAGTCTGTATGTTGTATTCTTATAAGAAATTGAAATTCTATGTTCCTCATACACATCTTCTAACCCATGTAATCTTTACACAGGATACAAGGACTCCAAATGCTATTCCTCTGATGTGGAATAATCCTTACGGGTATATGTTCATCTTAACACACTGAAATTTATATGCATAGTTTCCATTAACACTTAGTAGGAGGAAGTCGCATATATCCCTGATACTGAGTTGATGTGATAGTTTTGAAGCATAATTATTTTAAGTGATACTAATTTTTAAGTGGGTGAAGCATTAGTATTAACTGAGTATATTATTTTTTACATATTCTTACTGTTGCTTATCAAATTAATTACATTCTAAATATATTACAGCTATTGTGTTTTATATTTTATGGTAAACAAAGGAACTAGTTTCCAAATTTACTAGCTGGATAGTTTGATTAGGGAATTTATTGTTGTTACAGTGTTAATTAAATAATTTTAAAGAATTTAATAAATATCTATGTTTCAAAGGCGTAATCTGAGATAGTGGAAAAAGTCTTGGGTGTTGCTGTCAGATTTGGGTTCAAACCCAGCTCTACCACATATGACTTGCGGACTTTGGCTAAAATATTTCGCTTTTGAGTTGTCTGTAGCTGGGATACCATCTTGAAGAACAGTTGTGAGGAGACATCTGATAAATTGTGCTATTGATAATGTGCTTAATATTAGCGCTACACTATGTACTATCCAAGATTTGTTCACCCTCTTGCTAATTTGATGACTAAAATCAACATGGAAGAGCCTATTATGTGACAGGTGCAGGAGATGTAAAAATGAATGAGAAACAGCCCCTAAATTTGACAAACTTTAGTCTACAGAAAAAATCTGTAGAGTGTGTCAATATACTGAAAACATTTCATTTCAATCTAACGTTTAGGGTTGTATCAGAGGAGTGACATTGACAACCTTAACAACTAATAATAAGGCTTGTGCTTTGCTAATGAGCAACAGGCTACAAACACTGACCAACCAGCCCTGTAGCTGGGTCAAAGTCCTGGACGCCCCTCACTGTGCTAAGCCTTACTCTTCATTTGCTTCATTGTGGAACCATGGCAGGATATGGAGATAGAAAGGCTTCAATGGGTACTGAGAAACCAGAAAGATTATTGACAGCCAAGAAGCATGATCAGATCTTTATTTCCAAAGGGTCACTCTGGTGGTCAAGTGAAGGGCAGAGGGAGAAGAGACACAGTCAAGGCCGGGGAGGATAGAAGCGACCTTACAGCACGCTCCTAAGAACAGTAATGAAAATGTGGAAGAGGGATGACAGGCAGCCAGAGGGTCTTTTCTTTAAACCTTCACTTTATTATAGATCCTAAGTATAAATAAAATCTGGCCAAATCCCAGTTAATTTTACAAAGGTGTCTATGTCTAACATAATTAACTACAATAATAGCACATAAATGGCTAATAACATAGTCTTGTTAATCAGATACATAGGTCTCTTAAGATCTAGATCTCTGCAGGCCAAAACACACAGGAGGCTTGATTTTTATTTGATGTAACTATTACCCCATTTATAGGACACATTTATCTTAAACTTTATCCAGTAGTACAGTATTTTGAAAGTAATTTACTTAAAGAAATAAAAGCCTGTGACCAATGTAGAAGGCAATTTAAAACTAATTCTTGGTGTGTTATGTACCTGACTACCTTAGTTAAGTTTCAATACAACTATAATAACCATTCTTACCTAAATTAAAATCTAAGTTACTTTTAGAACAAACAAAAGCCTGCCTATCTTAGCCCTTAGTATTTATTATTGAGCAATCATTCCCATAATTTCAGGGACTGTTTTAAGGGTAAATTCTATAACCTTAAATCCCAACTAAATCTCATGGAAAATGTAGAAAAGCAATACAATTAGAATTGAAAAGATGATAAATTGTGTCAGAAAGTTCAACACTTTAAGCAAAATAGGGAGAAAAAGAAACGCAGTTAAATGTTACTGAATTCTCGACCTGAATATTCCAACAGCACCTTAAATACAACCCATTGTAAGGTCTTTTCCCCCAAATCATCCTCTTTTCTAGACTGTTATTCTACCAATCCAATCAGTCAAATCAGAAATCCAGGAGCTGCCCTCAACCCTTGTTTTTATTTAACCTTCTACATGCAGCTGGCAAACTGGTCTTTGAAAAATCTATCCCTTACTCTCTGTCTCCACTGATGCTGCCTTGATCACAGGCCCCCAAATCTGCCTCTTGAGCTGTTTCAACTCCTCCTCCATGCTCGCACCATTCTACTCCACACCGTATGATGCTAGCAGAATGAGCTTTCTAAAATGCAAAGCTGATTTATTTTATTCCATCTACAAAAAAACCCCTCTGCTGGCAAGATAAAACCTAAATCTGTCCTGCACAGCCTTAGTCCACCCATCCAGCTCCATCTCTTGTAACAACTCTATTTGAGCTACACAGACTAAAATATACCATTGAGGTTTTACAACTTCATATTTTCTGCTGATAAGTGAACAAATTTGGTAGGAGAAAAGAGACCATCACAGGCAGATTTCTATTCACCTTTTAAGATTTAGTGCAAGCATTACTGTCCTTTAAGAAACCCTTCCTGATCCTCCACCCAACCTCAAGCAAAATCTAAGTGACCCTCATGTGCACAGCAGGGTAGCCAGTATCGTCTTCTTTCAGTGTGCCTCCAACACTCTTGCACGCACTCATTTATATAACTGTCTGTCCTCATTAGACGAAGAGCTTCCTGAAGGATAGGAACTATGACATCCATCTTTCCAGCTCTGCACTCAGCACTCTTGCTGGCACATAACTGGTGTTTCATAAATTTTTGTGGCTTAATGAGATTTTTAAATGACCACTTCTTACTTACCAAACTGAAACTGCTGATTGTCCATGAGGCGAATAGACGCAGGAGCACATCTCTGTTTTAAAAAGAAAAAAAATGTGATACAAATTTAATATAGTAAAGAAGCTAGACAGGTCGAATGTCCCTAAGGATACACACAGGAAAAAGTCTTAACTTTTTATATGATTTTATGAAGACAAATAAAACATCATTGGCTTCTATAAAATATTTAGAGAAGAGAAATCTACATACATAAAACATACACACATACATATGTTGCCAGATCTCTATCTGCAACAAGACTTGCTTAATGCCTAGCAAAGACCTATGGAAACACCTAAAAGAAACATTAGGCCTTAGGGTCGGCTGAGTGGTGCATTGGTTAAGAGCTGGCTTGGGACGCCAGCTCTAAGCAGCAGGGCCCCGGTTCGGATCCCACATTAGGGTCAGTGACACTGCACCCGCTACAGCTAAGATGGTGAACAGCTCGACCTGGAGCTGGGCTGCCATGAGTCGTTGGCAAAGGCGTAGGCTGCAGTGGAGCTGGCGTGAGCTGCCAAAAGCCGCCGTGAGCGGCCGTCCAGTGACCGGCAACCTATCTGCCTCACCCATGAAGAGCGCAATGATAATACCAACAAGGTGTCCTCCACAACTAGACTGAAGAACAAAAAGGACAGCAACTTGTCTGTTCCCTTTCCCCGATTCCCCAGTAAAAAATCTTAAAAAAAAAGAAAGAAATACTAGGACTTAAAGTGAATTATTTTAGAACAAAGTAGAAATTTTAAAGCCTACACCATTTTGCCATTTATGAATTCTAATGTGCCATCAGGTTCTCATACACTTTTAAAATAAGGATAATGATAGAGGAATTTTTGTGGGCCAAAGCACTTTAAAAAATGTTCTGCAGTGTCTTCATAGATAAGTCTAGGAATTGTTCCTTCTTTTTATCCCTTCTCATAATCCATTTTAAATACAAAAGCTATCAGACAGTATCCAGAATTCTAAGATCTTTCAAAGTTATTTGTATGAAAACAGCAACAAAATTTTGAAGCATAAGATTATGTATTTATACATCTAAAACTGCAGCAGTGTCACATATATTTAGGCACACGATAAAAGCTGCAAGGAAAGAAAAACAAGGAAAGCAGATATTCATATTAACTTGGTAATGCTAAAACACTACAATACAAACACTGGCAAGGTTTAAGTTAGCTACAATTTTTTCCATAGAATTAAAGTGAGCTGCACCCTAAATGGGATTTTTATTTCCTATACAAATTTTTAATTTGGTTAAACTGCTACCAAGAGGTTGCTTTCAGATCACAAAATTTTGAGTAATTTCAAAAACTTTTAAAACATTTATCTTCTGAATATCATTTATCAATAAAATTTGTATCAACATAATGTTGAGATGAGAATCACTCCAAAAAACCAAACTCAATACACACCTTAACTATGTTATAACATTTTTTTTTTTTTATTGGGTAATTGGGGGGATGGGAACAGTGCTGGGGAATTAGGGGAAGGGGAACAGACAAGTTGCCGTCGTTTTGTTCTTGAATCTAGTTGTGGAGGACGCTGCTTCACTGGCCCAAGTTGGCACCATTGTTATAACATTTTTGCTATCACTTGCTTTTAATTGAACAAATACTTAATGTTTTAAACAACTCATAATACACATTTTATTTCACCAACAAACTGCCTAGTTGGATTCTTATTTTGAATAGTATACAAATCTCATCTTTGATACTAAAGGTGAGATCATTTAATCTATGTTTTAAAAAGTCATTGCCAAATCTAAAGAAACAGTATTAATTTTATATACACAGCATAACTATAACCTATCGCCTTACATTTTACAGAACCCTATGGTTTCCAAGCTGCTTTCTATGTCTCTATTTAATATAAGAAACAACCCTGTCAGGGCAGCAGAACTAGTATTATCCACCCCCATTTTACAGATGAGGACACAAGAACCAGAGAGGTTAAAAGACTTGTTAGAGGTCAGATGGCTGTTAAGCAGTATAGACTGAACTAGAACCAAGATATCCTGACTGTTAGATGAGCAATATTTCAAATACACCACACAACCTCCAAAAAAACTTACTTAAAACACACACAAATGCACACATATAGAAAGAGAGAGAGCGCTAAAGTCATATTTGAAACAAAAAACTACATGAAAACGATCTTATTTGCTATTTCCTGATCTTATTAAAACTATATAGTTATAAAATATAAAGAAAAAAATAAAAAATAAAATAAAATAAAAAATATCTACAATGTAAGTAATGTCAAATTTTGGTATAAAGGTATCTTTGTAGTTGGGCTAATGCTTCTAAAAATGTTACCAGTTTCCAACACAAAGGACAATCAATTTTCCTGAAATGTTTTTATTAAAATGTACACATCAATTTCTACTACAATACATGAAGCCTGATTAGACCAAGTTTCTTTTCTTCATAAAATAATTAGAATATCATATAACATACATATTTATATGTTTTGGCATTAAGCACACTGGTAAAATATAAGAATTCAGAGCCATTCTGTCATTATTAGGGGGCAAAAAAACTTTTAAATTCCTACCAACAATTTGTAAATTCCATCTCCTGCTGCCACCCTGTATCTTCACCTGTATCTAGAGCAGGTGCTAGTAGTGAAAACAACCAGCAACATATACAACAGAAAATGGGGGGAAATGTATATTACATTTAGTATAGTAAATTTCTAGTGGAATTCAATCTCTGAAACAACTAAAATACAATATGCAGGCCTTGATAAAACCTTGCTTTGAAAACAGTATCCACAAAATACATCTTGGGGACAACTGAAATAAAATGATTATAGAATATTAGATGGCATTAAGAAATTACTGATTTTCTTAGACATGATAATGGTATTGTGGTTATAAAGAACACCTTTATTTTTAGAACATTTTAGAGGTCAAGTGTAATGATGTCTCTAACTTAATTTGAAATGGTACAGAAAAGACATACACAAACGTACAAAACAAAGCAAAAAGTTAACTACTATTGAATATACAGGATGGATATACAGATGACGACTGTACTATTCTTTCAATGTTTCTGTATGCTTAAAATTTACAAATTTAAAGTTGGAAAAATAAGTAAGAAAGCTTCAGGGTACTTGCTACATATAGAAACCCATATTCAATTATATTGAGCATGATTTTAACTTGACAGCTGAGTCACATAAACTCGTCAGTCGTCCACTGTTCGTATTTTCCATTAAGGCAGAGTAGATGGTTACAGACTTATACTATCAAAGAAGAATAAGAAATGAAAGAAGGTTTTCTGTATTTAGATAATAAATATTAGTTTTCAATACTGACTTTTTAAAAAGGATGAAAATCAAACCAACAGATTTGCTAAGTCTGTTTTAATAGTGCCGCCTTTTTTTTAAAGTCAGTAAATGGTGTTTTTCAGTTATTGCCACAAGTAAATTCTCAGAGGTAAAGCACTCAAATTAAAAAATAGAATCTAGATCACTATAGGATCCTCTGGAAATTGATAATTTGTAAATCATTGTGCATCATTGTAAAAATATAAAGCAAAAAAAATTTCTTAGAATTTTAAATTAAAAGTTGTCACTACAGAGCTAATTAAATAGAAGTTCCTATAATCAAAACGCCAAAGTAATGTTACTATAATTTAAAAAGAACAACATTCTGGGTTTCTATATCTATAGTTAAGATTAGGTTATGCTTCAATTGCTATAAAACTAATTTGTTAGGTAACATATTTCCTTTAAAAGTTAGAGACATCAAAAATTCTGAGAGTCTGAGCTCTAAATTCACTCCCATGCTATTCAATTATGCTACACTGAGTATTCCATAGATTAGGAAAGGGGGAAAAGGGTCCTTGATTTCAAGTGACCCCTAGTGGTAGGTGATCAGAACTAACCAGAGAAGGAATATTTTTACCTAGTGGTGGGTTAATGATAGATACAGGGAATTTAAGGAACACTCAAACAAAAATTGCTTACTTGAACTGAAGTTAATGAAATAATTGATTTCTTTCATTCTTTCTTATTATGATAAATGTGCCCTTACTATAGAATCTCTAATGTCACTTGACTTGTACCTAAGGTACACTTTATACTTAGTAAATAGTCTAAAAATATATGAGAAACACATTATGGACTAATAAAGAAATACCAATATCTTTGTTTTATCTGAGCAAAGAAGAAATAAACAGCCATATTGGCCTCAAAGCATAGGTATAAGACTAAGTCAAATTGCTGGCAATTTCTTCCCTTTAATGATGGGAATTTAAAACCAGGAATTTACGTACTTGAATATAAAACCTAAAAAATAAAAAAACAACCACTATGATTAGTCTTTATTTACTCAGTAGAATTCTCTGAACTAACTTAAAAAGCAACAGATTTCTCAATCTAGCCATTTTCTCTAAAAATTGGTCCTTGTAAGAAACACATTAAAAGATTTCTGCAAAATTTGTTTTTACAGAGCCAAGTCATATCTCTTTCTCATCACAGAGAAAACCGGAACGTACACTTCAGATGAGATATATTAGAAATTCAATATTAACATATTAATTGTCTGTAGGATTTCTACTATTCTAACTTCATAAACTATAAAACGTAAGCACTGAATGGTAGTACACCTCTGGTATTCTGGTTAAGGAATGAATCATCTTTGAATTGAAAAGGTTTGTTTCTTCAAGGAGTAAATCAAACTTTCTGTGCAGATTCTACGACAGCCCAAATCTGTGAGGTATACGACTATTCTGGAGACAGTCCACTAATGTCACGCTGTTTCAAAAGCCAATGCTTCAAAGCCAAACCCCTGGACATAGTTATACAAAAATTGAAAAACAGAAAATTTATCATAATACGCAATATCCTTAGTGATGATTAGAAGACAGGAACCATGTCTATTTAACTTACTATCCATTTATATAGTGTCCATTGCCCTGTGTTGGATATAAAGTTAAGACCATACTATCTCATATAAAAACACATAATAAAACAAAATTATAAAAGAGTTCAAAAAGGGTATGTAAAAGAAGAGAATTTTGTTAAATGAAAATT